AGGCCACAAAGTAGAAGGAAGGCGCCAGGTGATGGTCCACAAAGATGGAGACTGAGGTCAGGGTCCTTCTGGGCTCTCGACTGATAGACACAATCTCACCCCGGGAGAGGATCTGGACCAAGAAGAGGAGAAGCAAGAGTGGCTTCCTTTTCGTTATATATCTCTAGCCCTGAAACTATGCCCAGATGGTCCAAAGGGCTTTACTGCACCCCGGAATGGCTCTACTCCCCAACTATGCGTACCATGTAGTAGTAGTGAGAGAAGGTAGCACCACTGATGCCCACAGTTTGCAAGTTCAGGATGAAAGTATCTCCAACACGAGGGGGGTGAAGATCCAACCGCTGAATAGACAGAAAGCCAGGCCCTCCTGGGGGTGGGGCTTGTACCATGAGCTTGGCTATGGCTGGATAAAGGGAGCCTGCAGACACCTGGAGACACAGGCGGGTTGGGGTAGGGTCAATGGCAAGGAACAAAATACCCTATCCCTGCTCCCGAGCTGAGCTATGGCCCCTCAGGAACTAGCTCACCCTCCTTCCCTTCCCACCCACCACCCTCATAGGTAAGAGGAACTCTACCAAGAGCTGCAGATCTGTGGTGGCGTGGGGGATCGTGATGGGAATGCTGATTTGGCCAGTCCCATCTGTGTTCTGCTGAAAGTCTTTGAGTGTAGAAACAGATCCAGAAGACAGTGTGGCAGAAACTTTGACAGGAATGTCAGAGGCTGGGGAACCTGACACTTCTCGGACCATGGCCTATATAGATGGGAGAAGGACCAATAAAAGAGAGTGGTCAGCAAGATGGTGGACCCTTCTGACCCACACGCACTCCCCTCCAATCCTTCCCTTCCAAGAGAAACCTGCAGCAGGAAGGGGGCCCCAGGCACGAGATGTCGCTTGGTGTTGCTAAGATCCAAGGAGAAGGGAGATGACACAAAACGCCAGGAAGTGAGTTCTGCTTCTTCCATCTCCCCCCCTGCAAAACAAAGGGCAGAGAGCTCCTAGGAGGAAAGGAACAGGGCAAGGCAGGCAGTGGGGGGTGGGGGAGCGTGGAGGGAACCCAATCATTTCCCTTAATAGTGAGTTCCTCAGAGTATGGGAACCTATTCATCTCCACATTTGTTGAAATCCGACACAGGATCCAGATGTGTGTAACATATAATTACTGGATAAGTGAGTGGATGAATGACTGAATGAACAAAAATAAATAAACTGAGATGGGCAAAGAGGTAAAAATTCATGCAGCGTTTAAGAGAAATGATTTCTTGGGTTTTCCTAATGGGCCCGAGGAAAGCTGACACAAGTTAGGGATAATGCTGATGGTGAAGAATAGGGCCAGCATTATAATGTGGATCTTAAAAGTCCCCGCCAAAGGTCAGGCTTAGGTCACAGCACAGCACTATTAGGAGGTGATGGAACCTTTCAAAGACAGGGTTGAGTGGAAAGTCTTTAAGTCATTAGGGGGTGCCCTCAAAGGGGACAATGAGACTCTAGATCCTCCTTGTTCCATCTCCTGGCATGAAGTGAGCATTTTGGTTCTGTCACACACTCCCTGCCACCATGAGCTACTTCATCACAGAGCCGACAGATCACACACTAGAACCTCCAAATTCCTAAGTTGAAATAAACCTTTTCTTCTTTATAAGCTGATTTTCTCATGTATTTGTTACAGTAATGGAAAGCTGACTAATTCAGTCAGCTCAGAGGGAACACAGGTAAGGGGCTGGAGTTATAATAAAAGAAAGTCACCCACCTGGAGACTCAATGATGGCTGCTGCAACATAGAGGCGCAGTCCAAGAAGGTCAGGGATACTAATGCCAAGCTTCTGCAGAGCACCCTGGACCTCAGCCTTTGAGAGGGAGATGTGGTTCTGGCCATCCACCAACTGAGACACAGGAGAAAACAGAAAGTAGGGTGAGACTGAAGGTCCCCATTTCTCCTCTCCAGTACCAAACCCCTATCTCCATCCTACCTTGTTTTGGGTCTCCAGTCCCCGCAGGAAAGACTTTTGGCCATCTTCATCCAGGAGCGCAAAGCGCACATATGCCACCCCCTGCACAGGCTTCCCATACATGTACCTGTTGCCATAAGGAGAAGGTGGACCAAAGCATGGGGGAGATAATGATCCAGAAGAGAGGGAAACTGGGAGCCTGTTCACTTGCAAGGGGGACCCAGGAGCAGAACCTATTTGGGGAGTGGGTGTTACCTGGCCTGGATGTCTAACTGGATTTCCCCAAGGTTGTCAGGAGTAGTCAGGATATAGGGCTTCTCAGGAATGATCTTCACTTCAAAGTTGGGAAGAACTGGCCCAGGGTAAAGAGGCAAGTAAGTCAGACCCTAGTGAAAGGACCAGTGGCCCCATATCTATACTCTTACTCAGGAGGCTGAGATCTGAGGATCGCAGTTCAAAGCCAGCCCAGGCAGAAATGTCTGTGAGACATTTTTTTTTGGGGGGGGTGAGGGAAGAGGGGGACCCGGTCGTGGGGCCTGAACTCTGGGCCTGGGCACTGTCCCTCAGCTCTTCACCTCTAGGCTAGTGCTCTACCACTTGAGCCACAGCGCCACTTCTGGCTTTTTTTTTCCTGCTTATGTGGTGCTGAGGAATCGAACCCAGGGCCTCATGCATGCAAGGCAAGCTTTCTACCACTGAGCCACCTTGCCAGCCCGTCTGTGAGACTCTTATCTCCAATTAACCACTCCAAAGCCAGAAGTGGAGCTGTGGGCCCAAGTGGTTGAGCACTAGCCTGGAGCAAAAATAGCTCAGGGATAGTGCCCAGGCCCTGAGTTCAAGCCCCGCAACTAACAAAAAAACAACCACACAAAAAAAAACTCCCTTTCCATCGGGGCTTCCCTGCCCCTTCTACCCTCTCACCTCTCATTTCCTTCACCAAAAGAGCAGGGCTCACCATATTTTTTCACCTCAAACTGGGTGCTGCTGTTGGATTCCATGCTATCTGAGAATCGGGCTGAGATTTTCCAAGTCCCTGGTCTAAAAACAGACAAAGAAGGGATTCAGCCTACCTGAGCAGGTGGGTCATAAACATCCAGGACCCTGAAGCCCTAGGAAAGAAGCTGGGAAGGCAAACCAGATGTCGAGGAGGGCCATGCTCGGGGCATCTGAAAGGTAACTGTGTGTTGGAGGTAGAGAGCCCCTGGGCAAAGGAGAATTGGAGTGTCTAGATCAGGGAGGGGACAGAACACCCTCAGTTCAGGGAAGCTCACTCTGAGATGTCTGGAATCACAAAGTCATCCTGCAAGATGGACGTGGGAACATAAACCTCCTTCTTCCGTACAAGGAGACCATGAGAGTTCTGCAAGAGCAGCAGAAATGGTCTCAAGTGGGAGATCACATACAAGAAGTATGGTCAAGAAGGCCAGAGGTCAGGGACTCACCTCCACCATGACTGTGAGAGTGTCAGTGGCTGGGCGCATCTTTTGATCGAGTGCAAAGACCCGGTACCTAACTGGAAGTGGAAATAAGAGAGGGCTGAGCAGGAGTCTATATGTACAAAAGGAGAGTGAGCTTAATTCCAAGGTGTAAAGCTTGCTAACAAGTCCTAAGTGGGCAGGGAGGGAGGTAAAGAAGAGGCCTGAAGACTGAGGCTCACCCCGCTGGCCAGGGTTATAAATGGGCTGGTCAGTCTGCAGAAAGAGGTGCCCCCGGCGAGAAGAGAAGAGCAAGTTGACACCCTGAACATCTGTCTTCCTGGAGAGAGAGTTCTTCAGCCATGGAGTCTGGGCCACCAGCTGGACTTTAGGGTTTCTGTGCAGTTGGGAGAGTTTACAGTTCATTACATCTCTGATGGAGACCTGTCAAGAAAAGGAGAGAAGGTCAGACAGCAGAAGGAAACAAAGACCAAGATAGAAACACCAAAGAGTCTATCAGAATGGAAAAAGAGGAAGGAGGCCAGTGAGGAAGACAAAGTCATTTAGAGGGTATGAGAGCATTACCGGAAGGCTGAGGAGTACCAAGTCTTTTTCTGAACTGAGGGTGAAGTCCTTCTTTGGGGAGCAAGGAACATTATTGTTACTTGGGTTTCTCAGGAAGACATGTCCTTTTACTACTTGTCCCGGAGGTGCGTCAAGGAGCTGTATTCCCACCGACAGGGGAGTTCTTAGCTTCGCCACAGAAGGAGAGAACAGGAGCAACCTAGAGAGAGTGGTGAAGGATAGCAGTCAGACTACCAGACACATCCACCCTGGCATCCCCTCACTTTTGAATCAAACCCCCTCTCCAGTTCTGCCCCCCATCCAAGCATTCAATATCTTGAGTATCTTGCCCCAGGACCTGGGCTCCTGAAGAGACAAAACAAAAAAACTAGATGCCCAGATGAGTCCCCAGAGGAGCCTCATGACTGGAGGCTCCAAGAGGGATCTGGTTTGTCTGTCTGCTCCCCTCTGGTCAACCTAGGGCTTAAAACAGAGTTGACTCTGGACCTTGCCCCTCCCCTAGCCTGTCTAAGCCGGGAAACCACGTGATGGGCAAGAAATGCAACTGGCCCCAGGCCCAGTGTTGGGGGAGCAGCCTGCACACCAGGGTCCCTGAAGGAGTCTGAAGAAATCTTGGCCCAGAGACAGATCTTGTCCTTCCTTGTTAACTCCCTCATTCCAATACTGGGCCCCTTCCGTTAACCTAGTACATCTCTGTGCATGTTATGCAAGCAAATGGGCTTGCCTATGCGTAAGCCCACAGTGGCTGAGATATACAGGACACTTAAAGGTCCCAGCAAGCCAGGAATGGGCTTCGAAGCCACTGACCTGTTTTACCACAACTCAAACTGAACTTCTGTGACCCCCAACAGGAACTCTGTGGTTCAGGACATCAGGTGCATCCACACCACACACAAGAAGAGCCTGAATGTCAAGAAACCCTGTATTTTCTCAATAATAAGTCAAATTTCAGGCCTAAGTTTGGCGCTTTTTTTGTAACCTCTAGATGAGACACCTGAACACACATGACAGTACACAAAGACACCCAGAAAATTTCATGGACAGAAGTACTTTATTTATCAGTTGCAACCAAACATGTAGGGCAGATGACCCTGCCTCTTTTCCCAGCCTCCTTTCCCAGGCTCCCCAGCAGTCCCACCTTTTTATCCCAAGACAGAGCAACAGCAGTACCCTCTCCATGACAGACAGCATATATAGTTTTGGCACAGTTTCTAGCTTCACATACGGGGAAGAGCAAAGGAGCTCTGCCCACAGCCCACCACAAGTCAGAGCCCAGGCTCCCAGCAGCAAACCTATTTGGTCCTCTGTGCCCATGAGAGCACAGCACCTGTCCTAGTGCCCAGGCTTCCAAAAGCAACTCTGGCCTCAGTCACAACTGGGAAGTACTTTCAGGACCCTTTAGCCCCACTTCAAGGCACTGCGCAAGGATCAGAATCCTCACGTGTCTGGCAGGCGGAGGAGGGTTCCAGAGGTAGTGGAGACACTGTGAATGAAAAACACAATATTGGAGTAAGCTTCCTGGGCCCAAAGTGTGGACCTCAGGACTTGACAAAGGGTGTTCCTGGGTTCCAGAATAAGAAAAGAATTGGGCTTTCCTGGTCAATTAAGCATGAGCCAGGAGGAAATCCAACACTGAGCATTGCTCTGTCATCAGACAGAGGACAGAGGGATACTCACCAGTCTACCAGCTGCGCTCCAATGAGATCATGGGCATGGTAGGCAAGGCCTAGCCGTACTGCAGAAGGTGCCCGCCGGCTTAGGAGCTCTGATAGGAGCAGCTCTCGGTACTTAGCCTTCCGAACCATGCCAAGGACAGCCTGGCGTCCTGGAGAAGGGGTCCAGGAGAGGGGAAAGGTGAAGAGGCCTGAAGAGCCACCGATGGGTGTTCTTAAGGAGCTGAGGACTCAAGATACCTTTAACAAAGTACTTGATGAATCTCCCAGCTCCAGGCACAGCTAGCCACCAGCTGCCAGCATCACGGACTGTGAGGACTCCAGCATTCACCAATTGTCTATGGGAGGGGAAGAGAGATGCAGCCTGGACTCTGAGAACCATCTTTCCTCCCCAGCTATTCATGTTTGGACACTAGTCTCCAGAAACAGGCAACCATGCAAGAGGAAGCAGCTAAAACAATGCAAGCTGGGGCAATGTGTGTTCACTTTGTCGTTTGCCACCTCTGTTACCCCTGCTGGCTTCATTGGCCCTGCCTGGAACTCCCTCCTGTCACTAGTACATTTTCATTAAATCAGCTTCTCCTCAGATGCCCTCCTTGAGCACAAGCCCTGAAACACACTGAGGAGAGGCTTCTCTGGGCCAACCCAGGCCTATGCAATCTCACCAGAGTTCCTGCCACATTTTACTACCAGTATCTCCTTTCCTAGAGAAGATCAGTACTTGATTTTTAGGATGCTTTCATATTCATTATTACAAACTAGGAGGCCAGAGCTAGATATGGCTCCCTAATACTTACTTAATCCTTGTATATGTTTTCTCCTAGGGTGGGAGTGGAATGTTTTGAGATAGGGTCCTGCTATTTAGTTCAGGCCAGCCTTAATCTTATGATCCTTCTGTTTTCAGGCTCTTGAGTGTTGCCTGGCTTAGGGGGCTTTTTTGAATGGGAATGTTAGACATCGCAGCTCCTGGCCATCTCTATCCTCTTAGTCCCAGTATGATTAACACCAGACATTTATGGTTCCTGACAGGTCCCATATGCATTTAATAAGCCCCCTGTTCTCTTGAACTGTAATCTAGGACTCTTTCCCAGACCCCATCTAAAACAGGCCTCCTCTCTCCCAAGGAGAAGAATAAGCAGGTCATTTTATTACATAGAAGAGCCAAACCTTTTTGGAAAGTTCACTAAAAAGTCAGGATGGATTAGATTAGAGGGAGGCTGGGAAATGCCTTTTGATCCCGCAATTCTCACGTGATCTCTGGGTCCCTGAAGCCAAAAGTCTGTGTCATTTGGTCCTGCTGGAAACTAAGATCCCCACAGGCTGGAAGTACTGAGGTCAGGAACTTCTGCACTGCCCCAGCATATGGTCGACCATCGCAGGCCTTGAGGACCTGGAACCAGAGATCAGATTCATGGCCTAGCTCCCCTCCACCTACCCCCCACCCCCTCCACCAGGACAGTGTCTCTTCTTGGTTCTCCTGAGGTTATTTTCTTTTTGATTCTCTCTCTTCCTTCCCTTCCTCTTGTCTTTCATGCTCGCTCGCTCTCTCTCTCTCGTTGGTTGTGGGATTGAACTTGAGTCCTGGGCGCTATCCCTGAGCTTTTATGCTCAAGATTAGTGCTTTACCACTTTAAGCCACAGACAGCTCTACTTCCAGTTTTTTGGTGGTTAAGTGGACATGAGTCTCACAAACTCTCCTGCCCATGCTGGCTTTGAACCAAGATCCCCTGATCTCAGGCTCCTGAGTAGGTATGAGCCAAGAGTACTCGGCTCTCCCTCTCTCATTTTACTACTTACCAGGGCCCTATTCCTTCTCCAGTAGGGTGTGGGGTAAGGAAATGTTTTCTTTTTACTTCCATTTCTGAATTTCCCTGCCCCCCTCCTTCCCCTTCCCATCTGTCACACCACACACACACACACACACACACACACACACACACACACAGTCACACACACACACAGTCACACATACTCTGGTCCTGTAGTCCTCAGTGTAGATAATTCCATGGGCATCCAAGTCGAAGCCCAGCTGGATGATTCTGATTTCGCCACACTCTTGAAGCTCCTTCTGTCTCCAGAGATGGGAGTAGAAAGAAGGAGGTCAGGGTAAGATTATATTTCGAGCATTTGGGAGCAGAGAGATTTTTGCTTGCCAATACTGGGCACATTTTTATTGTGTGGGAAGATATGTCAAACAGCCTTTTCCAGGTACTTGCCCACTCTACCATCCTGCCTTATGAGCTGTCTGTCAATCAATATGTATTTTCCAAGACTAGACCCATGCCAAGCACGAAGATAAAATACTAATTAAGATGGGCACGAAGATAAGACTAGACCCATGCTAAGCACGAAGATAAAATACTAATTAAGTGGCTCACACTTAAAATGCTAAGTTACTCAGGAGACTGAGATCTGAACATAATGTTCAAAGCCAGCTCAAGCAAGAAAGTCCATGAGACACTTATCATCAATTAATCAGAAAAGAAAGAAAGAAAAAAAAAAAAAAACAGAAGTAGAGCTGTAGTTCAAATGGTAGAATACCAGCCTGGAATGAAAAAGCTAAGGGACATCACCCAGGCTCTGAGTTCAAGACCCAATAACAGTGCAAAACAAAAATGAACATACAAAAACACCATTGGCCCTATCACTAAGAACTTAGCAGTTTCATGTTTGCTTCAGCAGCACATATACTAAAATTGGAACGATACAAGAAGATTAGCATGACCCCTGCGCAAAGATCACATGCAAATTCGTGAAGCGTTCCATATTAAAAAAAAAAAGACCTTAGCAGTCTCAATTTAGGGTGGCAGAAGGTAAGAGGAAAGGATAAAAGATTTAAAACAAGAATATAAAAGGGCTGCTGTTTGTAGGAATACAACAAAACCAAACCACCTATGCTGAAACATTATCTTCAAATATTTGCTATAATACTTTTTTTTTTTTTTGGGTCCGGTCGTGGGGCCTGAACTCTGGGCCTGGGCACTGTCCCTCAGCTCTTCAGCTCAAGGCTAGCCCTCTACCACTTGAGCCACAGCACCACTTACGGCTTTTTTCTTTGTGCTTATGTGGTGCTGAGGAATCGAACCCAGGGCCTCAGGCATGCAAGGCAAGCAGTCTACCACTGAGCCACCTTCTCAGCCCCTAATATTCTTTTTAAAAAATATATCTTGGGCCGGGCGCTGGTGGCTCACGCCTGTAATCCTAGCTACTCAGGAGGCTGAGATCTGAGGATCGCGGTTCAAAGCCAGCCCGGGCAGGAGAAACCGTGAGACTCTGATCTCCAATAAACCACCAGAAAACCGGAAGTGGCGCTGTAGCTCAAGTGGTAGAGCGCTCGCCTTGAGCTAAAGAGCTGAGGGACAGCGCCCAGGCCCAGAGTTCAAGCCCCACGGCCGGAAAAAAAAAAAAAAAAAAAATCTCTTGGGGAGAGGGGGGAGGATTGGGTGGGGGGGAAGGGGGAGGTAGGGAAGGGATGTGAAGGGTAAACAAAGGAGGAGGCTGCAATGCTTGATAAGAAATGTACGCATTATCCTGCCCATGTAATTGTAACCCCTCTGTACAGTATGTTCACAAAAAAAAAATTAAATTAAATTAAAAAAAAATCTCTCTTTAGGGCTGGGAAGTTGGCTCAGTGGTAGAGTGCTTGCCTTGCATGCCTGAGGCCCTGGGTTCGATTCCTCAGCAAAAAGAAAAAAAAAAGCCAGAAGTGGTACTGCGGCTCAAGTGGTAGAGTGCTAGCCTTGAGCTGAAGAGCTGAGGGACAGTGCCCAGGCCCAGAGTTCAGGCCCCACGACTGGACCCCCCCCCCCCCCAAAAAAAAATATCTCTTTAGGGCTGGGAAGGTGGCTCAGTGGTAGAGCGCTTGCCTTGCACGCATCAGGCCCTGGGTTCGATTCCTCAGCACCACATAAGCAAAAAGAAAAAAGCCAGAAGTGGTGCTGTGGCTCAAGTGGTAGAGCGCTAGCCTTGAGCTGAAGAGCTGAGGGACAGCGCCCAGGCCCAGAGTTCAGGCCCCACGACTGGACCCAAAAAAAATCACTTTAAGCATTAAAGAGCTTACAAAATGAAATTAGACTAACAAAAATCCTAATAGGAACTCAGAATTGAAACATGAAAGGCACTTGCTGATCTAAGCAAATCTGGTCAGCACAGAGCCAAAAATAACTTCGTTACACAGGAAACAAAACTCAAAAGAAACAAATCATAGCCAGGCACCAGTGGCTCACGCCTATAATCCTAGCTACTCAGGAGGCTGAGATCTAAGGATCACGGTTCAAAGCCAGCCTGGGCAGAAAAGTCTGTGAGACTCTTATCTCCAATAAACGACTCAGAAAACTGGAAGTGGTGCTGTGGCTCAAGTGGCAGAGTGCTAGCCTTGAGCTGAAGAGCAGAGGGACAGCGCCCAGGCCCAGAGTTCAAGTCCCGAGACCGATTAAAAAAAACAAAACAGAACATAAAAGACACATGGGGCTAGTGCGCTGTGTGTGTGTATGGCTGTCTATCTTTCTCTGTCTCTCTCTTTCCCCCCAAACTAGTTACATAAGAAGAATAAATTCTACTGCTCTCCACCACAGCAATAGATGGCAATAGTTCATAACAATTTATTACATATTTTATAAAGAAATGGCTGAGGTTATAGTGCAGTGATACAGCATTGGCTGACATTTTAAAAAGAGGATGGAAGAGAAAAATGAGAGTTTACAGGTTCCCAACAGAAATGCTAACTACCCTAACTGGTCCTTATACATTATACACATATAACAAAACATCACCGTACACTATTAATATGTGCAATTATCTTATGTCAAAGACTGCCTTTAAAAACATCCATAAAGCCAGGCACCGGTGGCTTACGCCTATAATTCTAGCTACTCAGGAGGCTAAGATCTGAGGATCGCGGTTCAAGGCCAGCCCAGGCAGGAAAGTCCGAGAAACTCTTATTTCCAATAAACCACCAGAAAATTGGAAGTGGCACTGTAGCTCAAGTGGTAGAGTGCTCGCCTTGAGCTGAGGGACAGCGCTCAGGCCCAGAGGTCAAGCCCCACAACTGACAAAAAATAAAAATAAAAAAATCCATAATCCATAATGCTGACATAAAGGCTAAGATGCAAAATATCAGAGTAAATCATAAAAAGACTTGAAAAACGTCCAAGCAGAAAATCTAGGTCAGAAAAATAAATGAAATTATGACTTGATAGATGTGTTGAATGCATTAGGGATAGCTGAATAAAAAGCTATTCAGCTGTGAGGGAGATCTTAAAAACTACCCAGAATACAAAAAAAAAAGAAAAGAATTAAAATACTGAAAACACAAAAGACAGTCATAAAACTTACAAAATACAAAAAGATTCCCAGAAGAAAGAAAAGGGATAAAGTAGAGGAAATATTTGAAGACATTAACAAATCCACGATAAAGAAAATATTAGTCGGGCTGGGAAGGTGGCTCAGTGGTAGAGCGCTTGCCTTGCATGCCTGAGGCCCTGGGTTCAATTCCTCAGCACCACATAAGCAAAAAGAAAAACAAAAGCCAGAAGTGGTGCTGTGGCTCAAGGGGTAGAGTGCTGGCCTTGAGCTGAAGAGCTGAGGGACAGCGCCCAAGCCCAGAGTTCAGGTCCCATAACCGGGCCCCCCCCCAGAAAAAAACAAGAAAATATTAGTCCAATTCTCATAAACTCACAGAACAAAGGAACAAATTAAGTGAAACAATAGAACATTTCAACAATATCAGTTGTAATGGTATACATATCATTTTCAAAGTATTTATATATATTACATATATATTACTTGGCAAAACTAACATGTATATAAGGCAAACCTCAAATTTCAAATGACTAAAATTATACAATGTGCATGCTCTCTGGCCACCAATGTCATTTATGCCAAAAATCTGTAACAAGGTTAGAACCAAGTTTTGGAAATTATGACATACCTTTCTAATCAACCCAATGAGTCAAAGGAAAAGATTCACAAAGGAGGTTAGAATATACTTCTAACTTGTAAATAAAAATACATACTAAAACTTACTACTTATATATTAATATTTAGAGGGAAAGTACAGCCTTACATGTTATAGAAAAGATGAAATTTAGCAAGAAAAAATAAAGTGAAAATCCAAAAGAGAAAATAGAAAACATGCATAGAAAGCAACAATGCAAAAGGTTGATTCTTGTTGAATTTTTTTTATTCCATTTTAGGTGGGTTTTTCTTTTTGTTTTGAGACAGGCAAAGTCTTGCTATGTAGCCAAGGCTGGTTTCAGATTCCTCTTCCTCTATTTTCCCTTACATCAGTGGATCTCAAATTTAAAAGCAATAGTTCAAAGATGTAGGTTCCCATATCCCTTCTCAACAGAACATCTCATTATCCTTGGGTGTGTCCCAGGAATCTCAATTTTCTAAATAAGCAGCCCAGGCAGTTACTAACATTGCTTTGAATGCTGGTGTCTCCCAGAATTGTGGATTTGGTCCTAATATCTTGTCATACCTCTTGATCTCTTTGGCGATCTTGCAAAACACTCCTCCACAAAGTACATATACATATATATGCATATATATGTCCATACTTTGTATGTGCACATACAGACCTGTATGTGTTTTTCTGGAGAGGAAAAGCCATAACTTTCAGAGGTTAGAAATCACACCTCTACTCTTCCTGCTAGATCTGACTCACATCCACAAACTGAATCACTCTTCAGGCCTCCCTCACTTTCGTTTCTCTATCACTGGCAAAGAATTACCTGCAACAGTCATATCCACCTGTCCACCACAGTTGCCTTTGGATGCTCCACAGGCACCTTCAAATCAGCGTGTACCTCTACCCCCAACAACTCAATGTTTTCCTTCTATATTTACTCTGGGAAATCTGGGAGTTAGACCCCTAGCTTCTCCCCACTCTCCTCTTGCCTCACTCAGATTCTTCCTCCCTCCCACATTCCCGTTACTTGGGCCGTCAGCAGTTCTCAGCTGCAGTATCTTCAGAAATGATCTCGCTGACTGCACTACCTCCAGTACACCTAATACCCCATTCCTGATCCTGCTTAACATTCTCTACCAGCTTATCTTCTGCAGTGTAAGACAGAAACAGCACTGGTGGGCGAGATCCTATAGGGACCTTACGTCTGATTGCCTTCCAAAGCTGTCTGCATGAACCATGCGTCATGACCGCTCTCCCCACAGCCTGGCTCTTTCATTTCCTTCACTTCGCCTAATGCCTGCTGTGTGGCTGGCAGACCAACTGAAGGTCTGAATGACAAGGCACTTCGCAAGTGGCCGTGAAGCAGGGCAGGGGCCTCTATCGGTCGCTCGGATGCCCCTCACCAGCTGCCGGTCGGCCATCGTCCGATCGGGCACGAGGCTGTACACCTGGCTCCTCAGCACGATGGGCGGCAGGGCATCCTCGAACAGGCCTCGCGGGAACAGCTGCGCTAGCTCCGCCACTGCCCCGCGCGCCGACCCTAGGTGGAGAGACCGAGTCATTAAGACGAAACTCAGGCGGGGTGGGGAGCCAACTACAGGGAGCTGGGGACCCCAAACGCACCGGGACCGAAGGGAGGCCCCGCCCCGTTGGGGGGGTCTCCAGCCCGGCCCCGAGGCTGCCGCGCTTACCTGACTCGCCCCTCAGAGGATCCACTTCCACAGGGCCTCGCTCCCGCCGCCTCTTCAGTCCGAAGGTCTCCGGAAGCAAGCGACGTCGCTTTCGGTTCATAGCCCGGGATTTGGTGGTACCGGACCACGGGGGAGAAATTGATGAAAAGGCTGGTGAAAAGAGAATCTTCCGGCGCACGGCAGTGACGCATGGCCCCGCTGGGCGGTGCTCTCCGGAGACCACGTGACCTAATGCACAGCCCCCGCCCCCGCGCGCACCACGTGACGGTATAGGAGGCGTTGCTAGTTCTCCCTCCGGCCAATGCGTGAAGGGAAGTGTACACCCGGCTACGGCTCCCCACCTGCCACCGACCGATTGGCTCTGAGAACCGTGGCCACGTTGGGCTCAAATTCCTGGTGTAAACCTTACTGCCCCTCCCCGCCCCGAGGGATCTGCCTACAACAGTCGCTGAATGAATGCGTCATCCGAAGCAGAAAAATCACCTTTGCAACCTTCTTCGGCTTTTGACGCGACTACCCTGACGTCATAGCCTCGCGGAGTTGAAAGTCAAGGTTGGGGGGCTTTGAGGTAACCAGATCTTTCATCTGAGCCCAAATTTCCTACGTTGTCTGCGTTAGGGGGAACCTCAGGAGTGGGGTATAGGCAAGGAAAAGCACTGTTGAGCACTTGATTGGCTGAGGGGCTGGGGCCTGTTTGCTTCACGACCAAAAACCTGGGAGGATGCTTGCTTGGTCCTGACCTACCCTGTAACGTGCACACTTTTTCCCTCGCAGGGCCTCATGGATTCCACAGGGACTAGGAAGAGAAGTGCTGAGAAAATAGAAGTAGCCGAGCCTCAGAACAAACTCCCTTGCTCAGCACCTTCATTGTCCACAGAACCTGCTCTGTACTCTGGATCCTTTCCTTTCTACCGGCGCCCTTCTGAATTAGGCTGCTTCTCCCTGGATGACAAGCGTCAGTACTATGGAGATGCCCGAGCCCTCCGCTACTACAGCCCACCCCCCACCAATGGACCAAGCCCCAACTTTGACCTCAGAGATGGTTACACTGACCGATACCAACCTCGGGATGAGGAGATCCAAGAGAGGCTTGACCACTTGCTACGCTGGCTTCTGGAACACCGAGGCCAGCTGGAGGGGTGAGCTAAGTTTAGCACAAAAGTAGATCTTTAGACCTGTCCTACTATCATCAGAGCCACAGTTGGAATGGGACCTAGTCCTTGGGACTCAGATGGGGAAAGGAGCTAAGCTAAGGCTTGTATCAAACTTTCAGCCCAGCCTCTGACTCTTCCCTCTCAGGGGTCCAGGCTGGCTGGCCGGGGCCATAGTGACATGGAGGGGGCACCTGACAAAATTGCTGACAACACCATATGAGCGACAGGAGGGATGGCAGTTGGCAGCTTCTCGGTTCCAGGGAACATTGTACCTGAGTGAGGTGGAGACAGCAGCTGCTCGGGCTCAGAGGCTTGCACGGCCACCCCTTCTCCGGGAGCTTATGTACATGGGCTACAAGTTTGAGCAGTACATGTGTGCAGGTGAGAGTTATCCCCACTCTCTGGTCTCTATCCCCTTCCCCAAATGTTTGAGAGCCCCCTTCCCCGCTGCTGCTTCTCTCCTTGTACAGACAAACCTGGAGGCTCTCCAGACCCCTCTGGGGAAGTTAACACGAACGTGGCCTTCTGCTCTGTGCTACGCAGCCGCCTGGGAAACCACCCTCTGCTCTTCTCAGGGGAGGTAGACTGCACAGACCCTCAGGCTTCATCCACACAGCCCCCTACCTGCTATGTGGAGCTCAAGACCTCTAAAGAGATGCACAGCCCTGGCCAGTGGAGGAGCTTCTACAGGTACAGGATAGGGTTGGGCAAGACAAGAGCCCAGATTAACAGCTGGGAAGGGGACCCGGAGAAGAGGGTGAGGGCAGAATGGAGGGTAGAGGAGGGATCTCACTAACTCTTTGTTTTTCCTGTTAGACACAAGCTCCTAAAATGGTGGGCTCAGTCATTCCTCCTAGGCGTCCCAAATGTTGTTGCTGGCTTCCGTAACCCAGAGGGTTTTGTCTGCTCCTTCAAGACCTTTCCTACCATGGAGATGTTTGAACACGTCAGGGTAAGTCAGTGTCATAGCACTCACCTGTTTCTACCCCTAACCCCCTAACCCCTACACCAAGACTATCGGGTTGTAGTCGGCCTTGCCCTCCTCCTGCTTTCACCTGATTGCCAGTCTTCTATCTCCTCTGCCCACTCCAGAATGACCGAGATGGCTGGAACCCCTCTGTGTGCATGAACTTCTGCGCTGCCTTCCTTACTTTTGCACAGAGCACAGTTATCCAAGATGACCCCAGGTGAGACATTCAGCTGTTTCTCCTCTAGATCCCGGGAGCTTAGCTTCCACTCCTTACCCCAACTTCCATCTGCCTCTAGGCTTGTCCACCTCTTCTCCTGGGAGCCTGGCCACCCAGTCACTGTGTCTGTACATCAAGATGGCCCCTATACCTTCCTGCCCACGTGGTATGTGGAAGCCATGGCCCAGGACCTCTCATCACCCCCTAAGACACCCTCCCCCAAGGACTGATGTTTTGAAGGGATCTATCCTATCTTAATGTACAGAGTAAAGAAATATTTCTAAGTGACTCTCTGCTGTTTCTGAGCTGATTCATCCCTGCCCAATATCCCAAGAATACTCCGTGGCTTGCTATTTTATTATTACACTTTTACCCAGGGGTTCTTCACTGGGTATAAAGGCTGGCTGCAAAGACGATGTCCCGTCGTAGCAGGGTGGCTGCTGTCTCCATCTTGGCACCCAGCACAGGCTCTCCTACCAGACGGGCAGCCCCTCTCAGTGAGCGGCACATCTCAGCCAGGCGCTGGATGCAGCGCACCACCAGGCCTTCTGGGGTTCCCGAGAGTCCTGCTAACTCAGAGAAGGGCTGTGAGAAAAACAGAATGAGAAATGAATGTGTGCCGGGCCTGAGCAACCTCTCTCCACAAAACCTCAAACTTCATGTACTCACCATACCCCGGGCCCACTCGTACACAACCTCGACCAGCCCAAAATTCAGCTCTCCCACAAATTCTTCCACTGTCTGGTTCAAGCCACAGGCTACCTGGACTTCACCAATCCGCTTGGCCACAGCACAGACACGTTCCACACCCTGCAGAAGGGGAAAAAGGAGATTAAGGCCCACCTTCCTACTCCAGGACCAAGAAATCCTGGCATCCAGGAAGAAGCCCTATCTACCTACCCAACTAGAGGGGGTCAGCTAGTGGGAGGGGTTAAAAATGCTGGAGCCCTGCAGAGCACCAGTAGCTCATGCCTGTAATCCTAGCTACTCAGGAGGCTGAGATCTGAGCATCAAGGTTCAAAGCCAGCCCAGGCAGGAAAGTCTGTGAGACTCTTATCTCCAATTAGCCACCAGAAAACTAGAAGTGGCGCTGTGACTTAAATGGTAGAGTACTTGACTTGAGCTGAAGAGCTCAGGGATAGCACCTAGGCCCAGAGTTCAAGCCCCATGACCGACAAAAAAAAAAATGCTGGAGCCCAGGAAAAGAAGAGGGATAGTATCCCCTACCTGTTTGAGGGTGCTTGGAAGCTGATCCCCAGGATCCCCAGAGCTCTGGCAAACCAGGCCAGAGAGCAGGGCTGCAATCTCCTCAGGCTTCAGAGCGCTCAATGCATTGTCAAACATGAGCTCAGTGAGGAGCAGCTCATGGCTGCTCATGGCACAAGCCACCCGTCCTGCCAGCTTCACAGTGCCTGCCTCGTCCACATAACCCAGGGTTCGGAGCACCTGTAAGAAAGATGGTGGGGAAGCCTGCCATCCTTTCCCCACTCTCCAACCTCCACTCCTGCCCCTCCTACCTCTACTCGTTGGTGGTACTCAGGGAGCAGCAGCAGTGACTGATCTGACAGTAGGAAGCGCAGGCGCTCTATCTCCTTCTGAATCTGCATTCGCTCCCTCAGCTTCAGGTACTACAGAGCAAGCAGCAAGCTTATCAGCGTCCTCACCCTCAGCAGAGGTGCACTAAGGGCAAGGAGGAACAGGCCAGCCCACAAGAGACCACACAGAAAATCCCTCCTACCCTGCCTGGGAATTACCTGGGCAGGAAAACGGGGATTGTGCACACACTGAGCCCCCCGGACCAGCTCCTCCAACTTCCGGGCCCGAAGGCCACCTTCTACCACTGACACATCCTTGAGCTGCAAGTCATTCACAGGGTCAAGGGTAGGGGGTCCTGCTGGGTAGGCCTGAGCCAGACGAAGCAATTCCTGGACAGCAGTGGTGACCACTGCAAGGGGAGGATCCTTTCTGAATTAAAAAATGTGGGTTTTGAAATATGGGGTAATAGCTTCTTTGCCATGGGAATCTCCCTTAGATCTCTATGGGGAATTCCTCTGCAAAACCCTCCCCCGCCCAAACTTCACCATTCACTTCAGACTGAAGGAGACTTTCTCATACCCTCCTATCTGGTACTATGTCATGCCCCTTCCTGAGAAAAGGGAACACCCCGCAGCATCTCTGACCTGAATTTCGGTTGCTGTCTCTTGCTGAAATCCTCTAAGATCTTCTCCCCATTCACCCGGAGCACCTTGGTGGTGATTGCAGCCACGTCTCCTGGCTGGAGCTTGGCCACAGTGTGGTCACAGGCCCCTGGGAGAACAGAGGTCAGCCCTTGCCATGACTCAAGCTCACACTGTAGTCAGAAAGCCAGAAACCTGACTCTCACCTTCAGGCAAGAAGAGCTTGAAGCCCACCAGATCATCTGGGTGGGGCACATCTGGAGTGGCTGCTTCCTTGTCCTGTGGATCCTCCAACATAGGCTTTTCACATAAGACCAGGGTTGTGAAGATTCTGCTGGAGGAGTTTGAGGAGACCTGGGAGGCGGGGGATGCAGAAAGGACAGGACAAGAATGTCAGGAATAGATAACAAAGGTAGCGACAAGATGCTCACTCTTGGATAGCAGTTAGGAAAACAACAGGTAAGCCTACCAGTCTGGGAGTGGCAACCAAGCCAAGCAATCAAGGCAGCTTCTTATGGGAGCAGGAAAAGGAGGTGTGCATGCAGTGACAGTGATGGGCAGAAAAGGAGAGGACATTGTAGTGGCTCCAGCCTCACCCCCAACCAAAGAGAGAAGAGGCTTGCTCCCTCACTCCCAGCCCTCTGGGGCCCAAATCTCTATTGTCCTCACCTGCAGGATCACACCCAATGCGTTGTGATGCACCTGATTCTGCACAACCACCACTCTTCCCACTGAGAGAGCTTTTAGCCCATTCACAGACTCCATGATGCGTCGCTGAAGGACATACACACAAGGAGTTAGGGAGGAGGCATCACTAGGATTAAGTTCAGAGCACCCGCTGTGTTTACTTCCTTTTCCCATCATCTCTCCAGCACCCCCACACACTCACTTGGATCATATTCCGGGTCTCCATCAGTTCCTCTCCCCAGCTGTAATACTCAGGCAGATCAACCAGTTGGCCAGTCGTGTCAGGCTCCTCCAAGGCCCCCAACCTTTTAGTTAGTTCAGCTAGAGCCTGCTCATGGGCCTGAGCAGAAGGAGGAAGGTTGTGTAATGAAAGACTCCAAGCCCAGCCTGCCACCTTCACCACACTGCCTTTTAGATGCCCACTTCTTCCAAGTCTTTGTGTGACCAGTACTGGTCATCCCAATCGCCTCACCTTGCTGTCTTTGCGGGATGGAAACTCAGAGAAACTCCTCTTCATCATGTCCTCCACCCTGAGGGCATCCACCCGTAGCAGGTTGAGGATCATAGTATATGTGAGGCGGAACTGGGACTGCAGCTGGGAAGGCTTCCCCTGGAGCCAAGTCAGAGAAGTCTGGTATTCCCTGGCCAGCCCTCGGGGAACCAGATCTGCAACTATACAAACTACCCCTCACCTCCTCCGTAACGTAAGAAAGCAAATGAAGTATACAGGTTATCAAAGACCCCAGTTAGCCCAGTGTTTACAGTGGTAATCAACCAGATGGAGATGGAACCCAATCTTCTCCTTGGATTTGCTTTGCCTTGGCTTCTCCCAAGCAAAGTAAAAAGTCTGAAGAGAGAGGCACACTTAGGAGAACCTAGTAGATCTCCAAAGCTGGAGCCCAGCCTGGCTTGTCCTCGTGACACCCCTGCTCACCATCATCATGCGGTGCAGATCTGCCATCTCAGGCACACGACCCTTGCAGAGCAAGATGACAGTGCCTGTGGGGTCCAGGCCTCTCCGGCCTGCCCGGCCTGCCATCTGCACGTATTCCCCAGGGAGCAGGTCCCGGAAGGTGGAGCCATCATGCTTGCGCATGGAGTCAAACACCACTGTACGTGCTGGCATGTTTACACCCATGGCAAAGGTCTCAGTGGCAAACAAGACCTGGGACAGAAGGGAAAGAGAAAAATCAGCAAAGGGGCTCTGCACACACCCTAGACCAGGCTAGCCTGCCTTACCTTATGGCTAAGGTTAGGTAGAACTCAGCTCAATCCCAGATCACTATTTGCAGGATTTCACTAAACTCTCCAGGCAAATCCACAAAGTAGGTACAAGTGGTTTCTCATTTTGCTTATGAACTTGCCCATTTCTTTTCTTTAGCTTCTATACTCTACATCTAACTGCCTACTATAATGATTCCAATGTGTTTACTAAGTAACTTTTTGTGTGAATATTTTATTACAGAATTATTTCCTGTTTTGTATAGGTATATTTGTAACTCACACAATGCAGTTATATATCTGATTTTTTCTTTTTCTTCTTTTTTCTTTTTCTTTTTTTGGTTGGTTGTGGTGCTTGAACATAGGGCCTGGGAACTGTCCCTGAGCTCTTTTGCTCAAGGTTAGTACTCTAGCACTTTGAGCCACAGGGCCACTTCTGGTTTTGGGTGGGTGACTGGAGGTAAGAGTTTCACAGACCTTCCTGCCTAAACTGGTTTTAAAACACAATCCTCAGATCTCAGCCTTCTGAGTAGCTAGGATTACAGGTGTAAGCTACCAGCGCCCAGCCCTTCTTTTCTTCTACACAGTATTTCTATAACTGCCTATATTCCTGTGTTTGCATGTATATGTATATATTCTGTGGGACTGCATCCCCCACATTTACCTATTTTCCTAGTAAAAGGCACCCTGATAGCACTACCACCTTGCCACCAAAAACCAGATCACATTGAACAGAGCATATACATTCTCTCACAGACAAAGATAAAAATTTCTTTGTGAACAATGGGGGAGATCTGGATGGTGTGGTTAAGAGGCTCTGTTGTGGCTCTGCCCACTAGGAATATTCTTTTTAGATACTCTTTTTGGTTCCCAGAGAGCATTAAAAATGGGACACTGATCAATACTAAGCTCTGAAGAAAATTTCAATATATTGCAAAGGCTGAAAATACACAGGTTACTTTTCTAAGTCTAATGCCATGTATGTAAGTAGAATTAAAAATAAACTTGTAATAAGAAATGTTTAGAACCGGGCTGGGAAGGTGGCTCAGTGGTAGAGCGCTTGCCTTGCATGGTCAAGGCCCTGGGTTCGATTCCTCAGCACCACATAAGCAAAAAGAAAAAAGCCGGAAGTGGCGCTGTGGCTCAAGTGGTGGTGCGCTAGCCTTGAGCTGAAGAGCTGAGGGACAGCGCCCAGGCCCCGAG